CTCTTAAGTGCCTAAGGGAGAGATACTGTTTAATGCAAGACTAGGAAAGAAAATTAATGCAGACCAAAGACTAGACTATCCAATAAAATGTATATTTGGATGGCTGGACATGGAGGATTCTGAAGTGTCATGCTGTCAGTAGCTTGTGGGTGATGTTGTTTGCAGAAGCTGTGATGTTGTGGCGTGTCTCTGCTCTCTGTTAAAGCTCCATCAGTCAGGATGAGCCGACAACAAACGCAGCAGAGTCATACAGGGTCACACGAGGCCCGGGACAGCATCACTCACCTCAGCTGTCCCCCGGCTGTCAGTGTGTGATTGTAGGCACACTAACCTGTGGTACAGAGGGAGGAAGCACCAGTAATTAATCACTTCATTGGAATAATCACATAATTGATTATTAACCAAACCGGAGGTGAGGGTGAGAGGAGAGGGGCGAGACGAGGGAAACAAGACTTTTAGAAGGAGAGACATGGGAGATGAATGAGAGGGGATATGAGTAGTGGGGTAAGGGGTTCGTTCTGGCAGGAAGCGTTGATGAATAGCTCTGCATTGAAGTCTACCTCTTTGAGTATTAATCTGCCAAATCATGTCTCCGGATGAGGGATAGGTCGGGTGGACAGGGGGAGGCCACTCGCTGAGAATTGTCTGGGCAAGGCTGAAATAGTTGTTGAACGTGCTATGAAAATGCTATTACAAATTTGCATACCATATGCTCAATATATTTCACAATACCCAGTTGAAATATGAGAGCGAGATGCCCTCTTTACCTGTAACACAATCACAAAGTTGCCTACATTTTTCATGACATTTCAAAATATCATTCAGCAATTTCGGCCAGTCTATTCAAATGTGGACGATGCTGACATTTTAATCCCAGGGAGGAATATACAAACGCTGCTGTGGAAATCATTCATTGTCCATCTCTGCTTTCGACACTTTTCCTTAAGCTACCATGTGACTTGAGCTGTCAGGGGGTCTTTTTTGGACCTTTGGCTTACATAGTTCTGCCTGGGAGGCTTGATCTCTTCGCCCCTTTCCTTGTCACAGCCCGCAATCAGCCTTAAGCCCTTTTGTGTTCTCCACTCCGAGCTAAGCCTGTTATCCTGTGAAACTCCTTTACACAAGATCACTACTATATCCCCCTTTTCTGTCTTTCACCTCTCTCACCTTGCCTCTCGTTGCCTTTCTCTGCCTTTCTGTCTTTTTGTTTTACACACACAGACCCAAAAGTAATGACTCTCAAGTTTCTAAAGGATGAATTACAAGGACTACTTTTTATTTGGTTAGTCTTGGTCCTCTGTGTCAACTACACACCAGTACACAATCACAAACACAGAAACACATCCCCTTACAAACAATTGTTCACTCCACTCTCTTCTTCCCCCAAACACATGTTCTGCCCCTGCCAAATTCCTACTCATCCCTCCCACGGCACTCACCTGCAACACACTAATAAACACACGCACATTGGATGTTGTTTGGATTCATCATATTAGAAAAAACACCCCCTCCCATGGTGCAAAGTGTCAGGTCACTGGTGCATTGCAAACTCCTGTATGTCCTCCTAAACTGCAGCCTCTACTCCCGGAGGGTTTGCTCCTCACATTCATAACACTCTGCCCCATGCCAGGTGGCTGTCTCCACAAGTCCTCTTTCCCATAAATCAGACTGTCTTTGACTTGATCAATAACAAGTCAATTAGTAGGCGCAGAGAGATGAGGGTCTCAGGGGGTCACTGCTTGTTTGTCAGGCAGACATCTGCAGCTCTGTCCCTGTCTGCCACGGAGCTAGGTGTGTCGTTTACCTTGGAAACATGTGGCTACTTGGCTATCATAAATCTAAATATCACCCATAAATAGGCTGGGAACATCTTGCTACAATCCATCATTTGCTTGTTCTTGGATATGTAATGTATCAAACATTGTGCACTCCAAATCTCCCAGCTGTGTCTGATGGATTTGAATAGGCCAAGAAAACAGCACTTTTCATCCCACTAACTTTTCTGTGAATTTGCGTTTCAGCATTTCTTGTGATTAAGTACGCTTGTCATAAAGAAGCAAACAAATCTACCTCCGCTGTCTAAGGTCACACTTGACCATATGCACCATCTAAGCTGCAAAGCCTGCCACTATTCATCCTGCTCACATGTTAAGCTGACAAGAGTGGAAGAGACCCAACTGTTGTTTGGTGCCCACTGACTGTGTGTCTAATGACTTAGCCTGCAAATCCAATGCAACAGCAACAGGCTCCTGTGGCGAATACACCAGATTAATCCCCTGGATAATTACAAACAAGAATGATCTTGGGCAAATACTCCCCATACCTACTGAGACATTGCATCTGACGATTCTGTCTAATTAAAACTCATTCAGACTGGTGACGGAGAGAAAGCATTCAGAGAAATAAATGAAATGTGCTGACGTTATGAAGAGAGAAGATCTGCAGATAGAAACTCACAGGGGTGGACCAAAAGATGAGTAACACAATATACACACAATGCAGATGCCTTGGAATAAAAAGAACATACATTTCAATACTTTGTTTGACCTATACATCAACAATTCAGGTATGAACTCTGCTTTGAAAACTCACTTATCAAAATGATAATTTGAAGAGCAACTCTTCACTCTCTAACAGCTAACTCTGCTAATTGGTGTTCACCCTAATGTGACTCATTCGTATCGCTGCGTTTGTCATTTTGATTCACAGCAGTCACCCCCTGAATTGCTGGTGCGTCAGTCGCAAACACTGAAAGATGTTGTGAAGTGGCAAGGGGGAAAAGTCTCAATAATGCAGTAATTAGAATGACAATCATAACAATGACAATCATTATCCTTGCCACAATTAATACTACTTTAAATGTTTTGTTCATTGATTCAAGCTCTTTAAAAATCATCATTTAGTCTGATTCTCGTTTATCAAATATTGCCCAATTCACACCCTTACTACACATGTCTCATACTGCTGCCTCCACGTACACTATCCAACACGTACAGACTTAATAACTTCTCCTGTCAACAACTCACGCAACCTCTGTCCCTGATGTGACACGTCTCACTGTAATTGTTTTGTCTTGATGTCAGCATCATTTGTAAACATTGTGTCTGCTTAAGACATCATAATGTTGTCATTTAAGATTTGAAGATCTCAAAACACTCATTCCAAACGTAAGTAAAAGTACTAATACCACATTTGATATACACTGTTGAAATAGAAAAATAGTATACTACTACTAGTAGAAGTAGAAAGTGGAATGAAAACAAGCAAGAATCTAAACGTTGTACTCAGGTAAAGTAATTGAGGTAATCTACTCAGCTACATTCACCACAATTTCATAATTGTTTATTCAGATTCCTAATTTTGAAGTGTAATATTTTAGAAATATTTGTATTACAGGGTTTGTCAGACTTTGTATTTGCTTGTAGGATAAGAAAACAATTATATTATCTGTTGTGTCACTTCACTCAAAGCTTTTTCCCGTTTAACAGTAACTCTCTTTCTTTCAGAGAGAGGCCACCTGGATGAGGTGAGCCTGCAGATGGATATGAGAAAGGGGAGATAAAGTTGACAAAGAAGTGTTCTCTTCTGAGGATTAGTGTGTTGTGGTAAAAAGTTGTTTGTTTGGGTTAGGCTGTTGGATTCTGTGCATACATGTGTTTGCACTTGTGCTTTGGGGTTGACCTTGTTTTCTTAGTTTTTTCTCAACTCAGCTGCCTGTGTCAGGTGTCAGGAGTTGACTGTTGGGATCATTTCAAAGGAAGGGTATAAATACAAGACACAAGGAGCCACACAGGATCCATCCCACTGTATGAGGCCGTCACTCCTGGTAACAGATGCTCCATGCTGTGGCAGACTCTAACGTAGACAGTATATGTACTGTAGTGTGTCAGGCCCGACTCCAGGGCTTCCCTTGTGCACCCATGCAGAGAGGACCCCCAGGGGAGCAGACGCCAGCTGAGACTGAAAAACAAGGTAAGAGCCCAGCTGACACACTTGCATACAGGCTCAGCTGTTTGTCTCAAAGGAGAGTTCAGCATGTCAAGTACACAGAGAGCCAAGAAATGATGGAGTACTGCCAGATACTTTCAAGCCTTCCAGGGACAAAACATAGCAGGAATACGTAAAGATGGATGGACGGAAGATGCTAGGCTATGCACAGTATTGTGCAATGGTAAGATTGTTTTGACTGCTTTATTGTCTGGACTTGTAATGAAACCAATATAGTATTGGGGAGATGAAATAAGGGCTGTTGGTGCAGCAGTATCATTGATCTTACCTGTGCCACATCATAAGAGCATTTGGCTGTAGAAATATGACTCCTAAATTGAACAATGTTGTGTTTCTAATATTTTTCTTATGATCTTTATTCAATATGATGGTTTCTTATTTTCTTTTCCCTCCTGTTTGGTCAATAAATATGTATTATGAAATAAGTTTCCTGTTCCTCCAATCCCCCCCCCCCGCTTTTAAAATGCCAGTCAGAGGCTCCCGGGGCTCCAATTCTCTCTCCAGCCAAGAAAATGACTAATATAAATGATTGACAGCCTTGCAGGGATAAGGTTGCCCATTTAGCAAACTCGCTGTGTCAAAGAAATAAAATTCACAATGGCTCCCTGAGCGATGGGATTGGAGATGAGAGAAATGAAGATTTTTGTGCTGTATCGATCTCCCAATGCTTGTCTCATGCATTTTACACAATATCTAAATGCCACTTATGCTATCACACAGTGCTCTAGGTAGAGGCTCACCACTCTCTGTTCAGTGGGATTTCAGGGTACTTGGTGTATGAATTCAAAACAAATCAAGAAAAGCTGTTAGATGGTGTCATGGGCTCAACTCTAAGAAGGCTCTGGGGATGTCTCAGCATCTGAACCTTTAAATCTTTTCTCTGGCATCTGCAGCCATGTGTCCCGTGGACAGCTGGAATAATTTTCGTACATTTGGGATGAATCAAACTAAGCTCTCCTCTCCTCCCCAGGGTCTAAGGTCTAAGTCTCATCATGATGGAGGAGAGTCTGGAGACAGATGGCCCCAGATCCTCCATGCCGGCTGAGCTCCACCATCCCCACTCCAAGTACTCTCAGTGGAAGTTTAAACTGTTTAGGCTCAAGTCAATGGAGAAGGCCCCTCTGCCCAGTGCCTCTCAGCCTGAGAAAGGAGCCGTGTTAGGGATCTCACCTCCTGCAGATCTGAATACAGAGTTAGATAATGACATAAGCCCAGGGAGTGTCATGAAATTATGCCTAGGAGGAAAAAGCAAGGAAAATGTAGAGGGCCCTGGCCGGCGGGTGGACAAGAAGCTACAGGAAATGGACATCCACATGAACCACCTCAGGTAATAAAATGTCCCTTTCAATTAAACTTAACTTAATTTAATTTAAACATATTGTACATGCATTTAGTTTAAAGGTTTTGACAGCTTTGTTTTCCCTCTATAAAGGTGCTTGTGCCGTCTTTGCGGAACGGCCCTGAGAAAAGTCAAAGGACCAGTGCACGATGTTCATGGGGATCTGGATGAGGTCAGCAAAGGTTCCCTTCGTAGAATGGGCTGCAAGTTCACAAGCTGGCCAGGTGTACTTCTCAAAGTCTTCAAAGTGGATGTGACAGAGGACACAGAATCTGTCCACCCTCTTTCCTTCTGCCATCGTTGCTGGGTGGTCGCCATACGAGGAGGGGGCTTCTGCAGTTTCTCTAGAACGAGAGTCCCCGAGTGGAAACCTCACTCTAACACCTGTCATCTCTGCTCACCCAGAAAACCTTCATTCCAGCGGACTAGGAGGAAGAGGCGAAAAGCCATTCCCAGAGCCCAAACTCTGGCAAAAAGAGCCAGGTGGGATAATGGAGACAGCATTGCTGTTGGTGAAAAGAGGGTTCTGAGACCATTTGGAGACCCTCATCATGGCCCTGTGCTCAAGGCATGGAGGAATCCCCGCATACAGAGAGAGCAATGGGTCAGAAATATCACCCACTGCCAGAAAGACCACCTGAACACCAAGCTGATCTCTGAGAAGCTCCCTGTAGACTTCCTCTTTTCTTTCACCTGCCTGGTGTGTGACCACCTGCTCTCTGATCCAGTCCAGTCCCCCTGCGGGCACCTGTTCTGCCACAGCTGTATTATTAAATACATCCACGTTCTGGGGCCTCTCTGCCCAGCCTGCAACTTGACGTGTGCCCCCAATGATCTGACCTCGCCTGCCAAAGCCTTCTTATCAGCCTTACACTCCCTGCCTCTGCTCTGCCCCTGTGGCAAGCAGGTAAGGGTTGACTCATTTAAAGCCCATTGTCAGAGCCATGAGCTGGATGAACAGGATGGAAAACAGCAGATATCCAAACTTGACAGCTACCTGCTCACCAATAAAGGGGGAAGACCCCGTCAGCACCTGCTATCGCTAACACGTCGGGCCCAGAAGCATCGGCTGAGGGATATGAAGAACCAGCTGAAGGCATTTGCAGATAAAGAGGAAGGTGGTGACCTGAAGTCTGTGTGCCAGACTCTCTTTCTGCTTGCACTGAGGTCTGGGAATGAACACCGACAGGCAGACGAGCTAGAGGCCATAATGCAAGGTAAGAGACTATTATAAGGCTTTTGTTTAATGAACCCAAAAACTCTGCAGCCAAGACACACACAAAAGAAAATTATGAAAAGTATTTTCTCTATAATATTTCCGTCTATCTCTAAGGAATACAATCATTTCATAAATAACAATGAGTTATAAAAGTTCACTTTTGAAGAGGGAGAAACATTTTTCTGTGATATTTGATTGAAAAGCATTTCATTATTGTCCACTTTTGATTGAAGCGCCACGCTGTTTGACGCTCAACCCCTCCCTGCTTTTTTTTCTTTCTCACTCTCTGCCTGCTTGTCCGTCAGTCTCTCAGTCTCACACTCCCTTTAATGCACAATAACAACTCTTGTGAAGGGGCTGTTAGAATCAAAACAATATCAGCAGCTCTTGTATCTGCAAATTACACAGACAGCACCATCCTTCTCTCAGGGGAATAGAAGCCAGCTGGTGTCTGTTTTCATCTGCAGCCAATACATCACTTTTGCCAGCTTTACTCATTCACCCTCTGTCCCCTTATAACATTTTGAAATTAGGAAATATTGAATTTTCTAATCATGGGCCCGAAGGCTTTTGACAATGATACATTTACATTTGGTTGTTAAATTTGTGATTTTCTCAGTCTTGTAGGACTCGAAATGTGGGATATCAAATGAGGAAATGTTAGATACTCCAGTTCTTTTCAAAGCCGTATAAATTAGCTTCTACAGTTTGATGTTAAATCATTCTAAATCTATTCCTCTTGCATGTATTGTTTTATTTATTTTACTTTGCCTCTTTGTGTCTGAAACTTGATCTTTTTCCCTTTTCTATCTTCACAGGCAGAGGGTTTGGGCTGCATCCTGCTGTGTGCTTGGCCATTCGGGTCAACACCTTCCTGAGCTGCAGCCAGTATCACAAGATGTACCGGACTGTCAAAGCCACCAGTGGCCGCCAGATCTTTCAGCCGCTGCACACCCTGCGAGCTGCAGAGAGGGAGCTTCTCCCTGGCTTCCTCGAGTTTGAATGGCAGCCAGCTCTCAAGAATGTGTCTACATCTTGCAATGTTGGCATTATTAACGGGCTCTCTGGATGGACTTCCTCGGTGGATGACTTCCCAGCTGACACCATCACTCGCAGGTTTCGCTACGATGTGGCTCTGGTGTCAGCAATAAAGGATCTGGAGGAGGACATCATGGAGGGGCTCAGAGAGGCTGGTATGGAAGACAGTACTTGTACCTCAGGCTTCAGTGTCAAGATCAAAGAATCCTGTGATGGCATGGGCGATGTAAGTGAGAAACATGGCGGGGGACCAGCTGTCCCTGAGAAGGCTGTACGTTTTTCTTTTACTGTCATGTCTGTCTCTGTCAAGCCAGACAACGAGGAGAAGGAGGTTACCATTTTCACTGAGCCCAAGCCGAACTCAGAACTGTCATGTAAGCCCCTTTGCCTGATGTTTGTGGACGAGTCAGACCATGAGACACTCACAGCTGTCCTGGGGCCTGTAGTTGCCGAGCGTAAGGCAATGAAGGGGAGCAGGCTCATCCTATCCTTGGGTGGACTAGCTCGCTCCTTCCGATTCCACTTCAGAGGTACAGGATACGATGAGAAGATGGTGCGTGAGATGGAGGGCCTTGAAGCCTCTGGGTCCACCTATGTCTGCACTCTCTGTGACTCCACCCGGGCAGAGGCCTCTGAAAACATGGTGCTACATTCGGTCACCCGCAATCATGTAGAGAACTTGGATCGCTACGAGATATGGAGAACCAACCCCTTTTCCGAGTCTGTAGACGAGCTGCGGGACAGAGTCAAAGGTGTCTCCGCCAAGCCGTTCATGGAGATGCACCCCACGCTGGATGCGCTACACTGTGACATTGGCAATGCCACAGAGTTCTACAAAATCTTCCAGGACGAGATCGGGGAGGTGTACAAAAAGGTCAACCCCAGTCGGGAGGAGCGGCGCAGCTGGAGGGCAGCCCTGGATAAACAGCTGAGGAAAAAGCTGAAGGTCAAACCGGTCATGAGGATGAATGGGAACTATGCCCGCAGGCTAATGACCCAGGAGGCTGCGGATGTGGTGTGTGAGCTGGTGCCCTCAGAGGAGCGGAGGAAAGCCCTCAGGGAGCTTATGAGTATATACGTCCAGATGAAGCCCGTGTGGCGTGCCACCTGCCCTGCCAAGGAGTGCCCCGACCAGCTGTGCCGCTTCAGCTTTAACTCACAGCGCTTTGCAGACCTTCTCTCTTCTACCTTCAAATATAGATACAATGGAAAGATAACCAATTATTTGCACAAGACCCTGGCCCATGTGCCTGAAATCATAGAGAGAGATGGATCCATAGGAGCCTGGGCCAGCGAAGGGAACGAGTCGGCAAACAAACTGTTCAGGCGTTTCCGTAAAATGAATGCTCGTCAGTCAAAGGCCTTTGAGCTTGAGGACGTGTTGAAACATCACTGGCTGTACACTTCCAAATACTTGCAGAAGTTCATGGAAGCTCACAAGGACTCTTCCAAAGCTCTGCAAGCCACCATTGACCCAGTAGAGAGCCAGGATTATGAGGACATGTCTCTGGACATTCTTAAAGTTTGATATTTTTCTTTCAATGTGAAACTCAAAATGTAATTGACTTCATGATAAGCAGATTTTTTTTTCAACTGCCTCTGTCAGTAAAACAAATGTACTTACTACACAAATTCTTTATTTGGAATGAAAAGGGAAAAGAGCTACTTGAAGCAAAGATTTTCTTAATATTTTCATATATTGTGATAGAAGTGTTTGAATATTTAAATCAACATAAACTTTTATTTGATGTAACAATCCAAAAAATAAAAAGTTTCTTTCATTCAAACATTCTCATTTCCCACTTAAATCTCCCACCTATTTCTTTTTGAAGTGTTTTGTTTTAATGGTATTTTACTTTGTTGTTGTATATCTTTTAGCTGTACGTTACCACAGTGCAATTATTACATAGCAGAGAAGTAGCACAGGTTCCTTCTTTCTTGCTCTTAGCAGGAAAGCTCTTTTTTAGCTTCACCATCTGTGAAATATGGCACAGTTTATTGTATTGCAAGGATATGACACATTTATGAATTTATATGGAGAGGATATTTATGGAAACAGATGAAAGTGCTGTAAGTCATGGAGGGAAATTGTGTTAAGAAGACCACATTTGTGGCCACTGTATTAATATATCATTTGAGCTGGAACAAAATGCAATCACAGAGACCCAAATGTTCTTTGTTTCATGAGTGCCCCCTGAAAAAGATTACTTTAGTGCTTTATCGTCGGATCCCTAAGGGGCAGAATAGATGCCAGGTCACTTTGAACCAATTTTGATCTCTTAGTTTTTGCACAGTGGAGGATGGATGATACTTATTCCAATTCCTCACCTAAAATAAAGCATATACTGACCTTTTTGTTGGTATAATAAAAATACAGTATGGTCCATTACAAAGCCTAATACCCCATGGAGTTTCCAGCAGGTGGGGATTTTTCTAAAGTTCTGTATAAATCCTGGCTTTTTTTCTCTGCTGATATTTCTTCATTGCCAAGGTTGACAGAGCAGAAGGATGAGCGGGAGCTAGAAAGACTCTATGTGATTTGTTAGCAACTTTATTTGTCTGATTGATTGATTATATTATCTTGTTTGTGCTCTCACAATTTTGAATTTTGACAGGCAATTTTGTTTTCTTATTTGATTGAATGCTTGATTTTATTTGACTGTCATAAGGTTTAACCATGTGACAGCTGTGAAATATTCACATTTCATTCCATAGTTGTCATCTCCCCACAATACCATCCTGTTTCAGATTGCAACGTGTCTCATATTTGTTTTTTTGCAATAATTAATTGCATTTCCAAAGTAATGGATGATGGATGTTTCACAGATTTCCACTTGTTACCTTTAAACCGTCTATTTTCAAATATTTCGTTTCTCCATATTACACTAAATATCAGATATACTGTTTACAGGAGTTGTGGATAGCTTTCAGTAGTGATTTATTGAGCATGTTGTATTATACTGAAGTTCCACCTTGTATTACCTTTTCACTCGTTTAACTGCTGCATTGTCACTGAAGCAGACAACTTTTTTTTGTGTAATTGTTCCAAAGAATGAATAAATAAAGACAAAATCTGACTTGAACTTCTTGAACTTATTTTCTTATCAAACTGTATATATTTAATTATGTTTTTTATTTAAGAATTAAGAATTCATTTGCATTTAATCCATGAAGTTTCCATTAGTTTCCATTTTTAGTTTCCATTTTTATGTATACAATATAAAAAGCTTAATGCTTATAAGATTTCCTGTCAAACTAAAACATTGTTTGCACCCTCTAAAATATAATGTAATATTATATATAAAATATTTCAATTTAAAGGCATTTCATTGTTTCATTCAGGTTGCCCTATTATTTGATGTTTTTACAGATTTAACTAGCAGTATAGCAGGTATTATTTATCAATAAAAATGTATTTAATCATAATACCAATGTATTAACATCTGGCCCAGGGATGCAGTGTTAATTCAGCCACTTATTTTCGCTGTGGGTCTTGATGAAATACAAAATATATCAAAATGTTGTGTGATATAAAACAATTGAGAAAAACACATTAGAATGAAACAGGTATGAAGACAGAATGTGAAAAAAAATTGTTTATTAAATTGAATACAGATCAGCACATTGGGTATTTTCAGTAATCATAACATAATTGTGAAAATAGTTAGGTTCCATTTGGCCATGGAAGGAATTGTTAGGAATCAAAAGACAACGACACAAATGTACTATAAACTGTGACACAGCTAAAACATCAAACTGGAAACATTGTAGACAGACTTGCTAAAATATTCTGTATTTTTGTCAAACATTGTGAGATTCAGTTTAACATATACAGCTGCTTGGCAGGAAATATCAGGTGTCAATTGTATTGTTTAATCTTTTGACAAAATGATTCAGATTGAGGTCAGATCAGCATAATGATTTACTGATAATAAACTAAAATCATCCTGAACAACATACAATTCCTCATCGTGACCATCTACACACATTATACAAAGTATTTCACTCAATCAAAAAGCCTTCTGAAAAAGCTTTTTTTGGCAGGGGACATCTTGATGGTTGGAGGAGTTTTCCTGTCCTTAACCTTCAAGGGGGTGCGCTTCAGAGGCGTGACCTGCCGAGGTGGGGTCATCTCCTGGAAGGGCAGGCCTCCATGGTCCATGCAGAAATACTTTTTGCTGCCCTCAGAGAGCCTGAGCAGCAGCAGCTCAGACAGCTCCATACACTGGGCATGGACCCAGTGCCCCCCCTCCCCTCTGGAGCAGAATATCATGGCAGGCCGGAAGAGCTCAGTGGAGTAATATGGCTCCCACTTGTTGGGGTTCAGCTGACAGCCAAGGCAGCATTTCATCCAATAGCCTGTTTGCGATTCGTCCTCCTCATCCTCCTCATTGTAATTACCCTCTTCTCCATCAATGTCCTCCAGTTCGTGAGGCTCACGGCCGAAGTAGAGCTCTTCAGAGTCTTCAAGAGGAGTGGAGTTGTCGTAATCTGTTGACTCCTGGCTGCAGCCCTGGGCTTCTTCGTCCGCTTTTGATTCCCCCTCTGTCTGGAAGCTCACATGATAGAAATAATGCACATCTGCTTGGGATGGCCTTCCCTCAGTAGGTACAGCAAGTATGATGGTTCCCTCCCCAGCACTGCCGCCAAACCAAGTGCGACTTTGCGTGATATCTTGGGTCCACTTAGGTGATTCTAAGGCCTCAAAGGTGATCCCTTTCTCATTCAGAATCACAGTGCTGCACTCCATCCTCTTCTGAGAGTCTGACTGATACCCCCCTAAGATGATATATCTAGTAGGACCAGTACGGCTGATTATGGCACTTGAGATGGATATGCCAGTTTCAATGGTCTCACAGGAAAGCAAGGGGCTGCCTTGCAAAAGCTCGACACGCAGGCGGAAGAGTCGAGGGGGGCGGGAGTCGGAAGAGAGCGAGTGACCGCCGAGGAAGTAGACACAGTCCTCTCTGGCAACGGCTAAATGGAAAGACTGTCCGTTGCTAAGCTCCGGTAAAGTATGGGCAGAGGAGCAACCAAACTCCATGTCAAACAGGAACACCTGAGGAGGACAGTCGACGACGCTGTTCCAGTTCTCTGTGGTGCGCTCTCCTGCTGGCATGTAGGATCTACCCCCAAACAACACACAAGCTGTCTTCCCATGGCTTTGAACCATGCTCATAGTGTGGCCATATCGGGCCCCGGGTACTTCTCCCACCAGTTCCTTCTCTTTGCAGCACAGGGTCAGTTTACGATTGCAGCCACGGCTATCCATGGTCAGCAGGTACAGGCTCGAGGAGATCTCATTATTTGGGGTGCGGCCACCGTGGATGAGATAACTCTCTGGAAGCCCATCATAGGGGTCGAGGCGGCAAACAGCAGGGCAGCGCAGTGGTGGAAGGTAGCATGAGTCATTGGAGAAAGAGATGGCCCTCAACTTCATCTCACCAAGTTTAAACCGGACGCCAAACACTCCCGTAGGACACGAGCGCTTGGGCCAGCCTTTCTGGCCAAACAGGAGGACTTCACCATCCAGCTGCAGAAGAGAGAAGCCCTGCTGCAGGAGGCCTGCACAGTTCACTGGAGTTAATGGTTGTAGGGTCATCTTCCGGCAGCTGCCTGCATCAAAACAGCACAGAAACACAGAAACACAACAATAAGTCAGTCAGCTGTTGATTGTTTTCATTCAGGGGATTTCAATTTGACTTCCTGTTTATTACAGTAACACCTGGAGAAACATGATCCACATAATCCAGAGGCTAAACATATATAAACAGGGTTACACAGTCATTCATCTAACGTTGTAGACTACAGTTACACAGAACAATTACATTTAGGAAAGATGTGACATGTTTACTCAGGAACGAACCTCAATGATGAAACTACAAGTACTTTTAATAACTAAGAACCTGAATAACAATAACAAGACCAAGGATGAGTTTTATTTATTTTACATTTGAAATGTTATATTTAAACTGGCCTTTTCTAGGACACATTTGTCCTAACATTTGTTAGGGTTTGGTGATGGCAAAGCACAAAAAGTAATGGCACTCCTATACCAACCCTAACAATGTACAGCATGTTAACTCACTGCTGCTGTTACTAGAGCTGTGTGTATGCTGTTACGGGACAACGTACGGTCGTTTCTTAAAATCCTAAAGTCAAACATCAGCATCACTATATAATTAAACACTAAAAAATCTACCTCTTCATGGAGTCAAGTTATTATTTTCAAGCACAAACACTATTTTTACTACCTATGTTTGAAACAGAATATTACAGGGTGTATTTGAATGCAGCATGGGATCCAAACAAACACTCAGAAAACATGTGCATTAGCTATTGGTACAATGTATTCTACCTTTCAATGATGAATAATAAAAAAATAATGACTATATTTGTTTTCCAATTGATAAGATTATATATATTTTAATTATAATGATTAGTTTATTCTGAGGGCAGTCTTGGATAATCTTCTTTGTTTTCCTTGCTCACTTCAACTGACACATACTATACAACACTTTAATGTCATTTTAGCAGCTTTAACAACAATATAAATAAATACTGCTGTGGTCACTATCAGTCACTTTGACAAAGACAATGTTTGATTTTATATTAACTTCAGCAGCATGGTTGCATAGACTTTCTATAGAATAAGTAGCACAATGTAGATTTAAATTGATTTATAATAATAATTGTTAGTTTGCTTACCTTAATGCCAGTGTCAGGATGCCGCTCTTGAGCCCACTTCAGTGTGAATCTTACAATCACAAAGGTTAACCTAACTGCATTTTTATGGAGCCAAACTTTGATAAAGGCAGACAGCGAGAGAGTTTGTGAAGCTTCGTTGCCTCACAAACACTTCCAGATCTTGAGGTTAACAGTCTGTGACTGTTGCTCTCTGGCAGGTGTGCTGCCTGAATGCATTTAGTGTATCACTTCAGAGATCACGGGCTATCAGCTATACTAAAGAAGGTACAGGGTCAAGTCTGTAGAACAATCTCAACCTTTATGATACATTGGGAATTAGCAGTGTATGTTTTCTTTCTTCAGTAGTTCCCAAAGAAAAAGGGATATAATGCTTTGCCACGTTTTTGAAAATGCCTTTCAAAATGATTGCGTAGTGGTAAGGTAACTACAAAAGTGAAACTGATATTCATGTTACAATATAGATAACAACTAATGCAGTAAAACATGACAATGATAAATTGTGGAGGAAATGCATGATGAGAAAATGTAATTTTGGAATAAGTCCAAATCATTGCTGCAAGACACACCTCTGATGTGAATATTTTATATCGAGAGGTTGGACACAGAAAAAACAAATACATAGAGAGCCACTAAGTTCATGCTTTCTGGGAAATTAAGTATTTCAGACGGATTTATTCGCTCTAGTTTGTTTCTAAAAAAAAGAATTCTTATAATTTTGGATTATCATTATAATAATTATAAAACCTCATGTAGACACAAAACAAACAACTGTTTGATTGTGTTTAACTTTTTGATATCATTACAAATGTTGGGGGAAATTAACATCTGTAATTCCTTAAAATCTTATAATTTATGACACATAGTTTCTAAAACAATTCATATCTGACGGGAAACAATAATTCTATTTTTTTTTTTTACATACTTAACTTCTTGTGGATAATTGAAATTATTTTTTACCAAACTCATTGGTATTTAAAAGTAAGCTGCGGCCAACCATTTCAAATGTGAACACATGTATTCAAGCAGTGCTTCATGAGAAAATGTGTATTTTCAAATGCAGAGCTTGTTTTATGTGTATACATAAATTACTATTCTGCCATTTAGATATATACTTCTTTGCTCTGCGACTAGCATTAATTGAATAGTTCGTTTCTATCTGATGTGTGTCCCTTACCCATCATTTTATTTATTTGATCCTCATGGTAAGTCCTTTTACTCCTCGTTTTCGACTGGATTTTAATTGTCATTGACATCAATGAGGACACCATCCTGTAAATATTGTCATACTGCTCCTACAGTATAGCTTGCTGAAAAGATCCCCATACACATCGTAACAATTATGGCTATTAGATGCAGCCTGCCTTACACATAAACTCTCTCCTTCAGCGCTGAATGACATGTTGTATGAGGAGTGGGAGTCATTATTCACAAAGTACACTGAACACATTATCATACTAGGATTCTGTTTCCTGAGGGGAAGGTAAAAGAAATATCATTCTTCAACAAGGATAAATACATTCTAGCATCTGGTTGAGTATGGATTCCCTTTGTGTATGCCTCCGTATTAATACGGATGCCCTACTATAGGTAAAAGCAGATCTCCTATATGAGTGACACCCACACGCCTGAACACATCGAGAAAACCTGAGCTGGAAACCTCTTATTAGCATAATGTTTTTGTGCACTGAGCAGCTGAGAGAAAACTTGAGGAGTGTGCAAAAACAAAGGCAGAAACCACAAGTGCCTGGAAGACCGTTACAGCTTGAAAACACAAAACAGCAGAGCACCTGTGTGTCTAAACTGATGCTTACAGGGCTGAGTGAAAGAGAAAATAATGTATGAGAAAGGATATAAAGCATCAATTCAGATGTCAGTGGGATATGCAGAATGGATTTCCTTTTTTCTCTTTTTTCAGAACTCTTCCATCAGTATGAATTCAGCCTTGAAAAAATAAACCTCTGTAGTCACCTCAAGGTATTCACACAAAGCACTGCCTGCTATGCTGCCACAGCTGGGATGGTGCGGAGCGTGAGTAGGAGGCACAACAGTGTGTGGCAGACCCCAGGCCATGCAAGGATTTGTACATAATTGATAGAACAAAGTAATTAGAATCTATGGTAGCACCTGTTTCTGTCCCTTGTAATGTATCACTACCTGACTGTTGCTACCCTGAAGCGTGGTTTTGACGGATGACGCAGAGACAGCTCTGATGTTCTGACGATCATTGTGCACTGGTGTTTATCACTATTTAATGTAACGGTAATTGCTCCCCTTGTGGTGATTGGTAGTGGGCGGGACACGATCCTTCTCTGGTTTGTATTTTTGCGGTACGGTGTGGTAATCTAGACCACAGTTCCTTTTCTTCAAAGATTATTATTATTTGCATTTTTTAGCCCTTTTAAAACAAATGAAAGCCTAGCGGCAGGCTGGATACGAGGGGATGAGAAAAGGTTATAGCATCAAAGCTCCCAAGATCTGAATTTGTTCATGCCTTCTCAGATTTACTTCTAAAATCATTGTAATCACTCATTTGATTATCCTAAAAAATATGTTCAAGCACTACTAAATGCTTAAGTTTTAATACAAACCTTTTTTTCTTAAATATGGCAAATTTGCAAATAACATTAACGTTGAAACATTTTCGTTGTTCTGTTAGGGAACTAGTCTTGGTTATTTATAAAAATGGCATGTAAGAAGCAAAAGGCGTCGTGCAACAAAGCCACTGATGACCACCCCACTCTAAAGCTCACTTGAGCTCAATGGAGCGTTAAGTATCTTTCAGCTTGTTGTTTCGGTATTTATGGCCTGGAACTTTGATGTTATGCCTAACTCTTATCAATCTTATCAAGCATGAGAAAGGACTTATATACTTTTTCAATATAAAGGCCAATCTATAAATGTTTAAGTAGCCATGGCTGTTGTCATACATACACATCTTATTTCATCCACGTGCATCGTCAGCCCACAGACAGCGTTCAACTCATTTCCGACTTACTGGTAAATATCAAAATCCATGTAGAATATGTTTCCTCAAAAACGTATTTGGCAAATCAAATCCCTAGGATGGGCATTTAGTGAACAATAGGATTGTTGAACACAAGGTGCCATGCTCAATGTTCCCTTGCTCTGAATCCCTCTTCTTTCATCTAGTTCCTATTGTTCTTGGATCCCTGCTTTGCTAAATGTGTTTCTCCTCTGTTGTCCTCTCTCTAGGCAGGTGAGCAGCGTGGTTTGGCTGCCTTGCTGTGGCAGGATGCCAGGCATGCAGGCTGCCTCAGATACCCTGGCATCACACCAGATGCTGGTGGAAACCCTGGAGGTTTTCTGCTGCTCCTCTGAGCTCTTTGAACAGTTCATGGGTTGTGACTGTTATATGTTGAACAGGCAACCTAAAGCCATGTTTCAAGCTGATAAGCTCAGATCTGCTCTCACCCTGCCTCTCCTTTCTCCCAACAGGGAATGCAGTGAGTAGACACACAACGGCGGCCCTGCAACTTAACTCGCTCCCCGGGGGAGATGGAGGGATCATGAGACAGTGGAGGAAAAGAGCGCTCAGCGTGCACGGGGAGCGTGATGTGACAACAGCAGGACGGCTCTGCGGCTGGATCTCGCATGTGGATCAGGTCGGGGTCAGTAGCTTGTTGATCCTCCGCTGTACCCTGGACCCGGTTTGAAGCTTTGAGTATAAAAACCTGCACAGTTTACAATCAAACTGAATCCACCTCTTTGAATAACCCCTCCTCTCCCTCACCTGTCTCAGTGCTTTCTTCCTTTATATCCACCTGTCTACTCCAGTTTATCTCCGCAGTCCTCCCTATTGCAGCAAGCCTCGATTTTCTTTAAGCAAATGGTCAGAGTGTTTCAGCGCAGGGGAGTTTACTTCAGATGTGTACACTGAAGCATGAACAGGACCTAAGGCAATGCCAGCTATTGATTTTACCATGATTTTGATTAGAGGGCTCCCTGTTGCAATCAATACTATACATCAGTGAACTGCACAGTGAAACTGATGGTCCCAGATAGGGCCCCATATTTGGTTTCCAATTAATCACACTGTTGATTATTTTTTAAGATTAAAAGGCAGTTGAGTGCGCACAAGATCCCTCAGCATAAAAGCCAGTTCAGCCCACTGGGCCCTTGAGTGTCCAAACACAAATCGGACAGTGGATGTTACAACTAAAGTCAATAACACCACTTGACCATCATGATTAAATTGTATGGGCTGCTAGACCCTGAACGATAAGAGTATGATGAAAGATATTCCTCTCATACAGCTCTGTTTCACTGAATGTCTTATTGTAATAAAAGATTACGCTGCCAGTTTGACAGCTAGCACTTGTGGGACTGAAGGCTAGAGTGCTGGAGGTGAGGCTGGAGGCCCTTATTTTATTAATTAACTATTTAAATATAGCTGCTATTAATTGGGCAAATAATTTCATCTTGATCATGAGATTCATATGTAAGATGTGAAAACACAAGTACTTTATGTCAGGAACAGGAATATACTGTATAGATCTTGGGGTGGGGGCAACTGAAATCTGGCCTTTTCTTAAGTTGTAGAATTGTATCTTGAAGCTGGAAAATCAACACACACAAATCACTAAGTGCAATGTGAAAGGTGTCCTTCTTGGTGACAAACCCACAGAACTACCGCCCAACTTTGCAGTTCCCGTCAGCTCGGCATATCATTTGAAAAATGTTCAGGTAATTGTTTTAGCTTAACTAAACCAACCTCGTCGATGAAGATGATATCGTACCTATTCAACAAGGGACACAACTACCAATGTTCGGGTTGCTGGTATTTTGTTCACAATATTTATGGTCCACAGTGTAATTGACATTTTATCAAAATATTTTATTCAGAGCTAAACAAACCAAATATAACACTGATGAAACTTATCTGCTGTAATTTGTGGTGCTAATGTTATCATGCTAACATGCTTCACTTTAACAGACATCATTCTGCAGTCAGATGGTACAGTATGAGCATGCTGACATTAGCATTTAGCTCAAAGCACAGCTGAGCCTGTAACAACCTAATACAGCAGAGCT